CAGAATTACAAGCATGATATGCACTCACTCATATATGGGTATTAGGCATAGAGCAAAGGACTACAAGCCTACAGTCAACACCACCAGAGAAACTAGGAAACAAAGCGGACCCTAAGAGAGAAAGACGTGGTCCCCCAAAGAAGGGGAAAATGACAAGAACTCCTGAGCATATTGGGAGCACGAGGGGGTGAGGGGGAAGAGGGAGATCAGGAAAAAGAGAAGGTGAGAAGAGGAGGGAAGAGGAGAACAAGACTGAGTCAGGGGAGGAACAGAGGAGAGCAAGAAAGAGAGATACCTTAATAGAGGGAGTCAGTATAGTTGTAAAGACAAATCTGGCACTAGAGAAATGTTCAGAGATCCACAAAGATGATCCCAACTAAGAATCTAGGCAGTAGTGGAGAGGCTACCTTTGATGATCTTCCCCTATAATGAGATTGATGACTACCTTAATTGTCATCCTAGAACCTTCATTCAGTCGCTGATGTAAGCAGAAGCAGACACCCACAGCTAAGCAACGAGATATACTCCTGGAATCCAGTTGTAGAGAGGGAGGAGGGATGAGCAAAGGAGTCAAGACTGTGCTGGAGAAACCCACAGAAACAGCTGACCTGACCTAGTGAGAGCATGGAGACCCCAGTCATAAAGCTGGGGAACCAGCATTGGACGGAACCAAGCCCTCTGAATGTGGGTTCCAGCTAGGAGGCCTGGGCAGTCTATGGGACCTCTAACCGTGAAGTTAGTGTTTATCCCTAGTGCACAAATGGACTTTGGGAGCCCATTTTCTATGGAGGGATACTATTTCAACCCAGATACACGGAGGAGGACCTAGGCCCTCCTGCAAATGATGTGACAGACTTTGAAGATCCCCCATGGAAGGCCTCACTATCCTTGGGCAGTTGGTGGGGCATGGGTTGGGGGAACCGGTGGGGAGCATGGGAGGATGAGAGGGAGGGGGAGGGGGATTGATATGTAAAATAAGATTGTTTCGAAATTAAAAAAAGAAATTAGAAAGAGGGGAAAAAAGAGTGGTGTGATTGGATTTATTCAGCTGCATGAGGCTGCACTTTTGGAATGCCCACCTCAGTACTGCTGCACTGGAAACCAGGCTTCCAGCAAATGAGCCCTTAGAAAGCACACCATAGGAAACCACAGCACCCTTCTTCTGAGCCTCTGCAGTCACGTACTGGGCACTTCAGTGTATTCAGAGTATTTTTGAAATTCCTAGTGAGCCACTGAGGGCTAGCACAGTGTTGTGTGTCTCCAAGAGGCCACCAATGGGCCACATATGTGGCCAAGATTACTTACTGAATTGAATTACCCTAGAAGCATTGTGACTCTGTCACATACTAGCTTCTGGGGTAGATTTCTCACCTGTAAGGCGGGGGGTGAGGGGGGGGGAATAATCCCTGCCCCATGTATGAATAGTGGACCACAAAATGTGGTCAAACAGAGCTTGAAGCATGGGTTATGCAACACAGGGAGCTTCAGAAAAGAGAAGCTGTAATGGCTGGTATGTGTCTGAAAACAGAGACTAGACTGAGATTTTAGGCCTCTACAGGTACCTGCAGGCTTCTGCAGATAGGGAACCTCCCTGGAACAAATTGATGCTTCTCTGAAAGATGTCCAGATGCATGTTGGTGCCAAATCGTCTGAGCCTATGACCAGCCCTTTCCAAATGCCACGGCCTTCACTGGTGGGAAAATCTGACTTCCGTTTCCCATGACACACTTTGATTGACAAGCATTGTAGACATCCCTGGAACTCCTTTCCAAGCCAGCACTCAGCACTGCAAAGATGGGTGACTTGATAAAGGACTGTAGACAGGATGGCTTTTAATGAGATGTTACAGATCAGGGCTGGGGAGGGCGCCCCAAGGAGGTCTTGGGTGGGTAACACTGAGATTCTCATTGGAATGGAGTTCATTTCTCCCCCATTCCACACCGCCACTCCCTCTGCAAAGTCCATTCTGGAGCCCAGAGCTCTGTGGAAGCCGAGAGAGGGGAATGACCACACAATGGCAGTATGCTGGCAGTTGAGCTCAGCACTGACGACAAGTGTTTTCTCTTTATGGACAGTCCTCCATGGTCCTCATGAGACAGGACACTTGGGCACTGAGTCAACATCTGGCTTCTCTTTGGAGGGTTATAGGTTCTTCCACAGGCCACCATCCTGCTCCCCTCCACCATCCAGTGTCCTGGTCACTTTTCAATATGGGGGTCATTGGGCTGTGAAGCCTCTGACTTTGCATGGATTAGTCTATGGATGAGTGAGTTCAAAACCTGATTTGCTATTCAGGGGTGGGTCCTGGTTGAAAGAGAACCATTGTGGGCATGCCTTTGATGCTTCTGGGGTGTATATCCTGGCTTTCCCTCTCTTCTTCCTGAGTGATAAGCAGTCACCACCGTGATGTTCTGTCATACCTCAGGCACTGGAGGCAGACTACCTTGGACTTAATACTCTGAAACCTGAGACGAAATAAACAGTTCCTTCATAATGTTGTTTATCTCGGGTATTTTATCACAGCAAGATAGCTGGCTGAGACAGAATTGATGAGGCCAGATCATTTTATTGCACCTATGCCTTTAAAGGGATGCAACCATTCCATCCTACGACAGGAATGCCGAACCCGCATCCTCTTGCAGATGCAGCTTCCCTCATCTTCCCTGAAGGCAAAGGCTTATCCTGTGCCTTCTGTGACCCAACGTAGATGTTAGCAGCTGGGTACAATAACAACCATTCGTGTAACATCCCTGCTTAACAGAGTGAGCACCACTGGGAGATACAGGTGACAAACATGGAATCCACTGTCCAGTTTTTGGAGAACACTATCCACCTAGAATATCTTTTCTCCATTCCCTCCCCCTGTCTTGAGAGCCATCCCTTGGGGACACATGGGCTGCAGAGCTGGCTCTATTTAGGAGCCAAGTCACAGCTGCGGAGCCAAAAACCTGACATTCCTCTGGCCTCTTCTTCCCACCCCTTGCTCTCCATATCTTGCCTGGCCCTGTGGTGTCTACCTTCTATTGATAAACAACACTTGTCCCCCGCCACTGTCCATGCTCACCTGTTAGCTCTCTCTTGGCCTCAGCAATGGTCTCTCCACCTTTAGTCTCATCTCCTTAGGCCAGTTCACGCCTGGCCCTGCCATTACTGAGCTCAGTCTTCCCCAGAACCAAGTCCAACCCTGTACCACATGTTCAGGGCCCGGCCTGTGTCTCTGCTGCCTTTTGTTGCTGGAACTCCTGCCCCTTCCTCACAGGTCAGCCATGCAGACACAGTTCCTCAGGTCCATCCCTCTCTCACTGTCTAATCCCACCCCACCTGGAACACTGTTTCCTTGTGAAAGCCATCCCCACTTGCCAGGAATCCGAGCTCCCTCTTGGGTGCTGTGTTGTATTATCTTGGTGTCTTCGCTCCTTCCCTGATGGGATGAGCCATTTGTAGTTGGGGGAAATCTCTGGTTTGTTGTACCTGATCCTTTCCTACATGTGAAATGGCACAGTGGCCAGTGGTTTATGTTGAGAAATGTGGTGATTTGTGTTTTGCCTATCTGTGCAGTGGAGTCCCTGCCTGCAGGAGGTGGCAGTGGCTAATGCTCCGTCACCAACATGACACCCTCTATGTAAAGAAGGGCCTCTTCTCCCTCCCTCGCAGCTCAGCAACAGCACCACCATTTAAAAGCATGCCTTTTTTCCATAGAACACCCTAGCTCCCATCCCACCTCAAGAAATCTTGTTTGCTATGATAAACCAATCCTATGTCCTTGAAAATGGAAGTGGGAAACTTTGTCAGGGATTTTGAGTTATTCATAAAGGAAGCCACACCAGACTCCCCACAGAATCCATGTCCCCATTCACATACCACATGTGGCCCTTGAGAGAACCTAGGTGCTGGTCAAACTAGGTGCTTCTCTCTGCCCACACAGTGTCCCTGGCTGGCTGGCCTGGGCCTGATGGGAAGCAAGGCACTGCTACACAAAGCTCTCTTTCTCTCACGTCTCTACATTATATGAAATTGTTAGGGAGGGGCCAGCCTAGCTTCTTGACCGGAGCTCCCCCGACCCCACCCAGTTTCTTAACAGGGAGCCACCCAGCTGGCGCCTGCCCAGCTCCCAGGCCTCAGGGAGAAAGAAAGGGCTGTTGAAAGTGCCTCTGGGTTCCCACACAGGAAGGTGCCAGCTCCAGACAGTCAGGCTTTGTGTTGGAGAATCTGCTTCTCATGAGGCAGCAGGTCACCGTGTCCTCCAGAGAGATGCGAGGGACAGCAAAGGATGATCCGATCGTCAGAGGAGCCTCAAGCATATGCCTGCCCTAGAAGAGAAGGCGTTCGCCCCTCACTGGCCGAGAAGAGCCCCTCCCAGGACCTCTCCAGCGTCTCGCTTCCTTAGGGTCCCTCCCACCCCAGCTTCTCGGGTTTGGCTGCTGTTAACTGAGGAAAGACTGACAAACCAAAAGCATTCTGCAGCTAAATGTCACCCCCATCACATATATTTAAAGATGATACACAGATGAGTTCCAGGCTGGGGGCAGAGAGGGTTAGAAATTGTCAGGGATACTAAAGACATGCAAACACTGCAAACACTTAGAAATAAAAGCTCCGTGAGATGTGTGAGTGAAGGTGGGTGGGTGTATTTGTGAGAATGTGTGCATGTATGAAGTGTATGAAGGTACTGGGTGTGTTGAATGTGTGTGTGTGTGTGTGTGCGCGCGCACGCGTGTGTGTTAGAGAGAGCATTTATATGTGAAAATAAGTTGTATGAGTGTGTTGGTATGCCATCATGAGTGGGAGTGGGACTGTATATGTAAGTGTGTTCACATTCTTGACTGGATGTGGGACTATGGGTATGAGTGTCTATACGTGCCGAGTGTGTGAGTTCACTGATGTGTCTGAGTGTGAGTACAGTGTGTATGTGTGTAAGTATACACACATTCTTTACTGTATTTGAAGGTCTCAGTTTGGGTTTCTACTGCTGTGATGAAACACCATGACCAGAAAGCAAGTTAGGGAGGAGAAGGTTTATTTAGTTTATACCTCTACATCACTGTTCATTATCGAAGAAGTCATGACAGGAACCCAAGCAGGGCAGGAACCTGGAGGCAGGAGATAATCAGAGACGATGGAAGATGTTGCTTAGTGGCTTGCTCCTCGTGGCTTCTTTGGCCTGCTTTCTAATAGAACCCAGGACTACCAGCCCAGGGATGGTACCACCCACAACAGGGATGCCCTCTCCCATCAAAAATGCCCTACAGGCTTTCCTGAAGCCTGGTCTTGTGGAGGCATTTTCTCAGTTGAGGGTCCCTCCTCTCAGATCACATTAGCTTGTGTCAAGTTTATATAAAACCAGCCAGCATGGGTGGGGTGAGAGTAGTCATGAATGAGCATGTGACTGTCAGTGTGTCTGAGAGAAATTTGTTTGTCCAGGAGTGGAAAACCTGATGGGATTCTTGGCATCTTAGCTGGTGCCTCAGGAGCCTCTGTAGAGGGAGACTCCCTTGAAAAGGGCTGACCCACTAGCTCCTTTCTGTCTTGACAAGTGTAGAAACTGCAGCCACTGGAGGGAAGGACAGGACATACTGACATGCCAGACGGCTTTATGGTTCCAGGGCTGGAAGTGAAGCCTCAAGATTCCACCCACACCACTCTGTTGCCCAGAGAATTGTCTGACCATTCCTGGAAACCTGTCAGTGGTCACCCAGCAGGTGGGCTATCAGCATCACCCTTCTAGAAAGTGCACCCACCCTGCTGGCACCCCTGCTCCCCACTCCCCACATACTCACCTCATCCCTCCTTTGAAAAGTGGCCCATGCCCATTTAATACAGTCAGCGTGAAGCTCACATTCTGTAACCAGGGCTCTTAAACATGTGCCTTGTTTCCTGGCAACAGATGCTTGGTCTCCAGGGAGAATCTAGTCCAAGGTGAGCCAGTTAGAGTCATCCCTAAGAACCCTGACTGCAGAGTCAGGAAGGAGAGTCAACCCTTCTCCATGCTGAAGTCAGAACTGGAACCCTCAAGACTGACACAAAATGCAGAGGCACGGGGTTTCTAGACCTTCTAGAGCTGTTTCTAACTGCTTTGAGACCATCATTGCCTCTTGACTTGCCTGAGTATTTAACTCATACTGTTTTTTTCTTTATGAAATAGTAAATTCTCTTTCATGTTTCAGTTCACGAATTAAGGGCCTTATATTCTTCTAATTCAAAGCCAGAGTACACCAGAGCAGCCATAGTCCCTGGAGATATTTTTCATACAATTTGAACTTTATTGTAATGAATTCTTAGTTTATTGTAAACATCTTCTTTAAATAATGTCCCTATTTCTAAACTGTCTTATTTATTCCTTGAGGATTTCATACAATATATTTTTGAACGTGTTGTTTCCCTTCCCAAATCCTTCTCTATCTCCCTACCTGCCTCAACTTCATGATTTTTCTCTCTCCCCCTAAAAAATCCATACTAGAAATAACAATAAAACTAAAATCAAACTAAAATAACAACAACAAAAGAAAACCAAGGACATGGGTGTGCACATACTCACACAGAGCACGCACACTCAGAGTCGGCACGCACACGCACAGAGTCGGGTTTGCGTTAACCAACTGCTCCTACACGTGAGGGTTACCCTGGAGTGTGGGTAAACATAGTGTTTGGAAAAGGGGAAAACCCTCACTTCTGCCTTCCTCAGCATGTGTCAGTTGCAAATAACGCCTTTGCTGGGGTGGGACTTGGTGCCCACTTCCCCTCACGCATGCTGGTATTTGGCTTGAACCGGTGTGTCTCCTACATACGTTCACAGACACTGAGCTCGTATGTGCATCAGCCTTTCTGTGTCTGTCTCCTTGGTGTCACCTGCCACCTCTGGCTCTCCCTCTCTCCCTACCCATCTTTTGCACAGATCCCTGAGCCTTGAGGAAAGAGGTGTGCTGAAGGCTTCACATTAGGGTCAAACACTCCTAAGTCTCGCACTCTCTTCATGTTGTCCAGTCATGGTCTCTGTTTTCACCCCAATCTACCACGAGAAGCTTCTCTAATAAGTGTTGAATGGTGCACTGACCTACGGGGGTAGCAGTTTGTCACTCAAAGTCATTTTATTGCTATGTTCATTTAGCAGACTAACAGTTTGTTTCCCTCTAAGATCTATGGCGCATCTAGCCTCAGGTTCTTGGCCTCATTAAAAATGTCAGGTATGAGTTCCATATCCTGTAAAGGATCTCTTTTTGGCCCCCCCTTTTGAAACTGAGCTATACATTTTTCTCACTTCTCTTTCCTCTTCCCCTCTCCCCTTCAACCCTGCCCCTGCCCCCCACACTCCCAATTTACTCAGGAGATCTTGTCTTTTTCCCCTTCCTAGGCAGATCCATGTGTGTCTCTCTTAGGGTTCTCTTTGTTGCCTAGGTTCTCTGGGGTTGTGACCTGTAGACATGTTGTATTTTGCTTTATATCTACTATCCACTTATGAGTGAGCACATATTATATTTGTCTTTCTGGGTCTGGGTTACTTCACTCAGGATGGCTTTTTCTATTTCTATCCATTTGTCTGCAAATTTTAAGATGTCATTGTTTTTTTTACCACTGATTAGTACTCTATTGTGTAAATGTCCCACATTTTCCTTATCCATTCTTTGGTTGAGAGGCATCTAGATTGATTCCAAGTTCTGGGTATTATGAATAACACTGCTATGAACATAGTTGAGCAAATGTCCTTGTAGTGTGACTGTTCATCCTTTGGTTATATGCCCAAAACTGGTATTGTGAGTCTTGAGGTGGATTGACTCCCAATTTTCTGAGAAACCACCATACTGATTTCCAAAGCAGCTATACAAGTTTGCACTCCCACCAGCAATGGAGGAGTGTTCCCCTTACTCCACATCCTCTCCAGCATAAGCTGTCATCAGAGTTTTTGGTCTTGGCCATTCTGACAGGGATAAGTTGGTAGCTCAGAGTCATTTTGATTTGTATGTCTCTGATGACTAAGGATGTCAAGCAATTCTTTCAGCATCTTTCTACCATTGGAGATTTCTCTGTTGAGATTTCTCTGTTTGGATCTGTACTTCATTTTTTATTGGATTATCTGTTCTTTTGATTTCTAGTTTCTTGAGTTCTTTGTATGTTTTGGAAATCATTCCTCTGTCAGAGTGGGGTTCTTAAATTCAACTGAAAGTGACTCTGGTAACATTAATGGCACTATTGCACCAGTGAGCACAGGTCATTATTGTAGCTTTAAGGATCTATAGCTGGGTAAGACTGAGTACTTTTTTCTCCAGTATCATGCTTAGCACCTTCTAACACCATGATCACCAGCTAGGAGGGGTGAGGCTTCCAGTCGAGTACCAGCTAGATTTCTCCATGTTCTATGACATGAGTATATAGCATCTTCACCAATGGGGTCTGACAATCAAGTTGCATAGGGTAACCAATAGCATTGGCAATAGCATGAAATGTTTGGGGGACATTTTGGACCCCTTTAGCCAATGTGTTAAAAAAAGATGTAGCCCTTTCCTGGTGCTGGAGTTTTATTTGGTAGCACAGGAAAAGGCCCTGGTGCTTTTGGAGGCCCCAGTGTTCTGCTCTCCTCCTTATATACCATGTATTACCATAAAAAGCAAGAACTAACTCTGGTTAGTTTAACTCCTATCTGGGAACAAAGGGACTAAGATTCGTGTAAGTAGGAGGTAAAGGCAGAAACAAACCAAGTTCTTCTGAGAAACCAAGATGATGTTTATTAATTAGCAACACGGAGAGAAGACAGTACCCTTTACACAAGGTGAATGTTTGTCTTGTGTGTTGAAGTCCAAGAGGAGCAGTTGGAGGCAGCATGGTGACACTGCTCGATGAAGACCTTCTGGTTCACTGACATATATGGCTGCTGGTTTCTTGAAATATCTCTGTGCTCTGTGACGCTGTTGAACATGATGAATACCAGACTGAACCTGTGACGCAGACGACCCTACAAGCTTGTCCCTACACTGTATCCAATGGGAGTGGTGTCTACCACACTTCCTGAATATTACATTCTCTCATGGCGCTGGTGGTGAGATTCTGGAGAAAAGGCAGGGTACAGAGAAGCTGGACACTGCTGGGCTCCGTGAGGCAAGCCTATACGCCCGGCACTCAGGAGGCGAGTCACATGCGCTTAGAGGAAAAACAGACTGAGACAAGAGACATGATACCCCATTTAAGAAGCATAGGAAGGGCTGGGGATGTGATTTAGTTGGTAAAGTGCCTGACTTGCATTCAGAAAGCCCTGAGTTCACTCCACCATACCACATAAAACCAAATATGGTGGAACATTCCTGTAATCCCAGCACCTAGGATATGGAGGCAGGAGGATCATAAGTTTAAGGTCATTCTTGGCTGGCTAGGTAGTTCCAGACTAGCTTGCGTACATGAGATCTTGTCTAAAAAAATAAAATATACAAAATAAAAACAGCTCAGAAGTCCCTCTGTCCTTTTTCTCCGTGAACAAACAAACACAGGCTCCAGAGGAGACCTCAAGAAGAGAAAGAGTTTTATGTCTGCTACTCTCCAGAAACAGAGTCCTACTAAGGGTATGCCAGTGTTCATGACACAGAGAGTATTCATGCAGTTTGGCTCAAGGCAATCATCAAAGATATCTTCCACTAGCAAAAGAAGAGCTCTGTGCTGTCACTCACATTGAGGGGCTGTCTGTCTCAGCTGGCATGAGAAATTTTCAAGGATAATTTTCATCAAGTGCATCTTTTTGGTTTTTTTTGGTTTTGTTTTTTGCTTTGCTTTACAGCGAAATCTTAGAATAACCTATCACATCTATTCCTACCCCTCTCCCTTCCTCCCAGCCCCCCCACTGCTTGTATCCTTCCTTTCGCCAATGGCCTAGTGCTGTCCACACTATTTCTTTCTTCATTTTTCCTACCTAATAATAACAATCCCTAGCCTTCTGAGTAATAGTGATGAGGGCCAAGAAGGTCAGAGCAGGTCAGATGTTCTTACCTATGTAAGAAATGATTTGGACAGGGAGGGGACAGCAATGGTGTTGGAATGATTGATTTGGAGATGTGAAAAAGGCAGATACCTCCTGCTTTGCCCATAGAGCATAGTGGCTGTGTGAAAGGCCAGGAGTCAGGACCACCTTGGATCTGGACTAGAACATCTTGTAGGGTCCGACCAACTGAACTAAGGGGAGAGGGAAGGGAAGGGAAGGGAAGACTCAGGGGTTCTAGGGCCACCAGTTGTATGATCCTGTTAGATCACAGAGTGGAGATGTGTGCACAGACATCTGTGTGGGAAAGAACCAGGTAGAGATCAGGATACAGATGAGTGAGTCACCTTCATGTGAACAGGTGTTCAGTTAGATCAGGAAATAAACTGAAGGGATGAGCCTGGAACCCTCCAGTGTTAGTATTGGACAGGCAGGAGACATCTGACATGGCTAAGGATAAGGTGGCACAGAAGCTTCTAGAAGCCAAGAGAAGCAAGTATTGAGGAGCAAGTGCATAAATGCTGCTTCCGAATCGGGGCACATGAGACCACGTGCTGGGCCCCTCCCATAGTGCTGATCTGTTTTCCTGTCTTGCCCCACCCCACCCCTGCAAATGGAAGGCCAGCTCTTCACACCTCACCTGCCCGGTACTCATTGGGTGGTTTCAGTTGCAAAGGTGGGATTCTATTTGCACCTCCCAGGCTGGCATTCCCAGCAGAAGGCACATGCAGCAAGCACAGGAGGCTAGACCAGGAAGACATGGAGCCTATCCATGTGTTCCTCATGTGACCTTCAGGCCTCTTCCTGTGTTTGGGTTCCTCAAAAGCTGAAGAGTAGTGGAGGTCCTCCTAAAGAATCACTGAGGGACTTCACACCTACTACATAAGGCTCACACTCTGAGAGACTTTCCTCTCTCCCAGCCAGAGGAGCATGCAGTTTGCAGGCTCCTTTGTCAAATTATAGAGGAGAAATTCCCTTAATAGTGTTGGAATATAAAGCTTTCTGCTTTCTTGCC